ATTCGCCAAGAAAACCATCTATCAGCGGCCCAGTCAGCTCAAATTTGTTTGAAGCGCGCTCCTCTAGAATGGCATCAAGATTACGCATACCATAGTTTGGCTTGTCCTTACACTTCCATACAGCGTCCAGCCAAAGCTTTTCTACACTAAACTTCATTTCTATAGTAGCCCTATTCCAAAAATGTTCGGATCGCTCTGTATCATCGTTAGATGAGCCGAGATTCATGTTAGAAAGTCTAGATAAAACATCGCTAACTGCATCGCTATTAATTATAATAACTTGTAGGTACACCACGTAAGTACGTGGTGTACCTACAAGTTATTATAATTACTAAAGTCGCCATGCAATCATACAAGAAAATTATTGCATCGCTATTGCCCGCCATATTTTGCGTTGTTATGGGGAAAACCGCTTGCTTGATGCGAGCCCGCACTTCCGGGAGCAAAATGCATAGCAACCGACCACCGTGACAATATCAAACAAATTTAACAAGACCAGACTTGTCAAATATTTCTACAAAAAACCTTAAACCTATTTTAAACTACGGAACTTTCCCTTTCCGCCTCTCCGTTGCTTCCTGTTTTCCAGGAAATATATGTCATACGATACCGGCTTCGAAATCAAAGATGAGTATTATAAAGAACAGACATAGTCAGTCAAATACGTGGCAATACTCGTGGGTCTATTCTATACTATAACTTGGTAAATTTATTTAATGAATATCACAGGATAAAAATATCTGTCACAGTCTTAATACTTAACAATTAGGTATCACTAACATCCAGGTATATAGCTACTCTATACTATAATAATAAGTCTTAATACTTAACGAATAAAGCAGATGTATAAGTAAATTAAATACATTTCTTAGTCTTGTTGATCACGATTGTGCCGATGGACAGCTTCCTTTATCACAGGCCAGATTTTCTCTGAAGAATGTCGCAATATAAACCAGTCGGTTGCACCCCCTCTTGAGGGATCTTTTTTAGCTCCAAGTTGTTCTTCGATCGCGTTTTGGGCCGCTGTTTCAGCGCCGTTCATTTCATCGGCCTCAACTGAATTATACAACGTAATGTTTGGGTTATTCTCTCGTTTCTGTATCTGTTTCAGACGTACTTCTGGATTTCTTGAACAACCAATCTTGTAATATCTTGCGTTGTCTGCCGTGTAGGTCATTAGATACACGTAACCTTCATCAAACCATCGTCCGGCAGCCCCAGAATATGCCATTATGCAAATGTAAAATCAGATACTATAGAAACACTTCGTCTCTGAACTACACATAGATGTCAAAGCAAGTGCTTTATATTTTTACTGTAAGCGTGTTCACACTACAATATATGGTGTAACCAATAGGGACGAGGGCTTGGCGCATAAATTAGCTGAAAGTAAATTGACTTGCCTTGCCATTGGTTCACTATAATTACAACAGATCATATTTCGGCATATCAACCTTGATTAACTTTGATTCACCCACTGCAGGAAATGTTGCGTAATGCCATCATGCACTATGCGTGGAAACACAAATTTAAAAGGTTCAGACTTCAATTCGTATTAGGCCTGGTTTTCATATGTCTCCGATGGTCGGCTGATGGCTATCGTCGGTGAGCACTGATGAATGAAGACTGTGTTTTTTTGAGTAAATTTTCTTTGTCATCGGCCACAAACAATACGTGGCCGACCGTCGGCGGCCCATTACGACAGTTAGCGACTAAGCCGACATTTTTTGTGAAATTGAAATTGAAATTTGGCCTTTTCCCAGCGCTCTCAAATGCAAATAGCTAAAGCAAATCACAAAGTAATCACAATAATAAAACAATCTATTTGAGAATTGTCTGCCGACATATTAATAATTATGGAGTTAAATAGCGAATATCGAAGGACGCAACTGCACATAAACTGCTATAAAAAAAGTTAATTTAGACAGTCCAGTAACCACAAATAAGTGGTTAGTATCAGGCCATGCGCAAACCAAAAAGTAGAACACCTTTAGGTGTTATAGTTATCATCAATGACATTAAAACACAAATAATAATTATTATATAATAATATAACATTTTTGGTTCTCATCGCAGTTTTAAACGCGTGTTATTAAAATGTTTTTAGGAATGTTTACGGTCCATATAATATTTCGACACCAGCGTCCATCATTTGCTTTCTTTGCACGTTCCATTTACCATCAGCGTCCTTATTGCTGTAGAGAAACAAAAACTGCGTTGGCTTACTTTGGGCGCATCTATCAAACACACCTTTGGTAGTTTTAGCGAAGTCGATCCCACACCCAACGGCGCCAGCCCCTCCTTTACCCTCGGTGAAACATGGGTAAAGTCTTGTGGCAAGGACTATGAAGTCTGGACAGCCGTTTCCGGGGAAGACGTCTGCCATCATCGCGTCAAAATCTTGCAACAACCTCCATTCAGAGTGGCCTTGATTATTCCCGGATTGTTTGAGAGATTCGTCGACGCCAGCAACTCGCATATTCGATTGTGTTGTTGGCGGCCATATATCTCCATTTTTCAACGGAGGCATCTTTGTGGCAATCGCACTGTCGAATAACTGGTTTACATCGTCATTTGTGAAATGAGCGTTGTCTTGTTTAGCGGGATGAAGATAGAGGAATGCAAACTGAGCATTGCTGCTAGTGTCAGCTTGATTGAGCCTTGCTTCCACTTTGTTGTAAAGATCAAAGGCAAGTTTTTTTGGCTCCAAAGCAGAGCCACCAAGAAAAGTGGCAAAAAAAATGATAAGCTTGATTTTTAGCATCTTGTTATTTCTGTCGTCAGAAACAAGAGTTGTATTTCTTTGTTCCAGCGGACTAAATTAAAGCTATTTTAGCTATTCTATTCTTAAGCTATTTTATGATATGATATCATCTTCTTGTGGCTGATTTGAGTTAGGTTTACGCATCAGGAAATTAATTCATCTGTCACACAGTCAGAGGTTGGTTGTAAAGGTCTCTTGCGGATGCATTTATACCCCCCACCTTGCTGTTAAATTTACTCCGAATTTAATGAAATTGATTCCTTAAAATGTCACTATTTCAAATTCTAGGTTGATAAATGAGCAAAAGGAACCGTTTAGCATCTTTAATCATACCTCAAACACACAAAAGCACCCGCGTTTGAATCAAATTTGACACTGAGGTCCGTTAGACAAAGATTATATTTGTCAGTTCATCACCTGCTAAATAAATTTCGTATGGCTCTAAATATGTCAATAATTTTTTTGCAAGAATGTTTTCTAGCGGGGATATGCATGCTTTTATATAGTATTTCATGTTTATGATAAGTTTGCGTGCAAAAATATAAGTTTTAGTGTTACGTTTAGAAGTGAGCCATTTATCCTCCGGAAGTGGTTGCACGCAGATTATGCTAATTACCAGTATCTAAACAACGTAATCACGGGTACCAACAAAGACGTATGACGGTTCTTAACAGGCATGCTTTACGATTTATATATCATTTTAATTATTTGCAGTAATTCTGTTGGTCAAAATAGATAAGATACGAAGTTTGAAATGTTTAAGATAACGATATTTCTGCTTGTAATCCTTCATGCTCTGCCTTGCCAGTCAGCTGTGGGTGGGGTGGATCCGGTGAAACCTTTAGCGAAGCAAGTATACAAGGATATCTTCGCACGGTCGGACAACGCGGACAAGTCGGGTGGAAAGATAAGTTATCTGTATTTGCATGGATGTCCTGATTTTAAAAAGCCGAAAACGTATGGCAACCAAGAAGTTGACGAAAAAATTCTCATGAAAAATGGAAGAATTCCAACTTTGACCACAGTACAGGATAAGTCATTGTCGCATTTTCCGACGGGTGACGAGAAGAGTAAACTCTTCATTGGCACCGCAGAGTATACGAAACAGATTCTGCCACAAGACCACCGTTTCGACTGCCCACATCTCGCAATACTCGGAAGGGGAAAATTTGCCGCGCCCGCCATTGATGTCGATGGCTGGCCGAAACCTCCCGGTGGCTTTATCGAGTGGAAAAAGAACGCCGCTGAACGCTGCCCAGGCACAAAGTTCTACTACTACATCGATCAACGAAAACCAAAGGCTGAGCTTGTCATCGAGCAATTCGAAAGAGACAACGTGAACGTGTTTCACCGTTCAGATTTCCCATAAATTGAATATTTCATCAAGGATTTTCAACTGTGATTTCAAATTGCACGATATAGTCTAGCTCGTCACAATTGGCTTATATATATACCACAAATAGATTGCAAATGTCTCTTTTAAAGCGAGGTAAACAGACTTTAGCCAATGTCATTTAGACAATCGATTATATGTAAGTATATTAGACAATGTCCAGCAGTGTATATTAAGATTCATATAGTGGAAATAAAACATGCACTCAAAAAACTTTGAACTTCTGTTAAAGATTGAACTACCACGTTACTAAAACTACCATATTAATGTTGGAGAAATCGCGACTTCGATTTATAGATTCTGCATGAGAGGGAAATTATGATGGTTAAATCTATATATTCAAATTAATCACACGCAAAAGTGGCATTACTAGTACTAAGGGAATTAAGTTTTTTTAGCAACTGAATGCGCCCTATATTTACAGCTACCTAAATAAAGTTTCGAGGTCCCTTTTTACACCGATGAAATTGACAATCAACCTTTAAGAAACGCTTCGATGGCATTGCGTACTGACATCTTGACACAGCGACCACAAGTAAGTTTTTTTCAAACACACGCTGAGCGTTAGCAAGTGGTCCCGGAGAGAACTTAGACCACCGACTTGGTCGAAACCAGTGCTTCATTTGTGATTTTAAATGCTTCAATGCATTATAGAAGATACGGTTTAAAAAAATGATTTACGACCGCGGTAAAACGCAGCTGAATGCATGAGAAATGGATTACTGGAGTGGAGAGTAACAAAAGTAAGAATCAAAATTCATTCTCGAAAATACAATTATCCATTTCGCCAAAAGTAAACAAAAAAGCGGAACAATATTTGCAAACAAACGAAACTTGTTCTATTATATATATTTCGATATTAAAACCTTGTCTTTATAATTGTTTAATTGGTGATATAATTATATATATTTGTATATATAGGCTTATATAGCAGGTCTGTCATATACATAGGTAGTTACACCTTACCAATGCATCGTTTTTGTACAAAACCGTTGATTCCTTGGTTTAATTTACCGAGGACCAGTGCCAATCCCTTTTTATAGTTGTGGTCGGCGCGGTAGTCGACCGTGCTGACTTAAACAACAGAAATGGACTGGAACTGATCCTCCAGCTCGGCTTATTCAATACAATTCGTTGCTTAAAACGCAAAATATACGGGAAGAACAAACGGCTTGGGGCTGGTTGTATATAACCTGTATCTATATTAAAAAGAAAGTTGTGTAACTTTTAACTCTATATTATTCAGTGACAGAATTGTCTAATCATAATATAGCATCAAATAATTCCGAATTAACATCCGAAGCCAGAGACGTTTTCCTTTATACGCTAAAAATGGCCAGACCGGTGCAATTGTACCGTACAGACAGATTACTGGTATTTTTTTGAGTTTGTAAGTGTTTCAAGAACTCTGCATTCAAGTATATATCGTTATTTACATCTGCCTAGCACGGGAAATGCAGTTTTGCATTCATTCGAACTAAGTACTCAATTTCAATTCAAAATATGACCGTTTTGACCATTTCGACCGCCCAAGAGAAAGCGCCCAGTTCTGAACATCTTCCTATTGACGCTAACGGTTATTTTATATAGTTTGAAGTTTCATACAATCGGTCCCATGGCTTTGTTGCAGCTGATCAAAAATTCGCCATGATTTCTTCTCGCACCTTGTGTTTAAGACACTTAATTGCACCGCAATAGTATGTTGTAATTATCGAGCCCTGGATTAACCATTTATCAACGATAAGGGGAAAATAACACGAGCTTTCACATCTCGAATAATTTTACCCAGCAAAGGCCTGAAAAGTATATAAATAATTTTCGGTGTTGTCCGCCAAAATGGCCAAAATTACTGCAATCTCTCCGAAAACCGGCCAGAGAGACAACTTGCCCGCCTGCGCATGCGCTACGTTCTCGCCACGATTGTACTGCAAATTTTCCTGTGGTACAGCCTCCGCCACAATCCGAACTTTATCCGACAGCGAACGACCGGTCCCCATCCGGGTTCCAACTTTCCCGTAAAAAGATAGCCGTGCTTCGAGCGTTTCTTCCAATGGCAATACAGCGGGAAGTTTACGCTTCCGAGAATTTCAGAAGAGCTACCTTTTGATTGGAAAATGTTCGCCGTTTGGCGAAGGACTTTCTTTACAACCACAAGCACCTCTCCACGCTCCTTGGCCCCGCCAACCGTACTCATGTGTTTGACATTGCCATGGACAGCTAAAGAAATAAACGACGATTTATGACTTGAGTTCGTTCAGGTGTTTGAGATCGAGAATATTGCAAAAAAACAATGAGATTTTAGACATGGAAGGAAGAACAACGAGAGTTTGAACATTCCAGGTTATTTCGCGCTCATGCATATTTCAGCCAATCAGCGCTCAGGATATTTGTCGTAATAGAAATCCATTCTGCAGTATTTAATCGATTATATCTTTTGTTATTCGTTATGAAACTAATCGAAATTTTGTGATTATGTTTAGTTATAAGAACTACAGGGTGTATAAAAAAAGGCAACACTTAATATTCATGAATATCCAATGTTTTTTCAACACAAAAGACAAAGATGACAAGCCGATGAAATCCCGATTTCGGAAACCTAAAATCTATTGTTGCTATACACCCTGTATAATTTTTATACAAACATGAATTAAGCGTATTTTGAATTATATTAAATTGTTTCAACCGAGAAATGAATTTCTTTTTTGACAATAATATCTCGAGTATTTTCCCGCCATTCAGATCACTTGGTTGACATGGCAACAGCATATTACTGTGCACTGTCATAATAACGGGCTAAACTGGAGTGTTGTTTGTTATAAAGTAGTCCTGGACAAGAGGAATGTCTGTATTATAAAGCAGTTATCATGCATGACTTACCGAAGTCACTGTTGCAAAAGCTTTTGATCAACTCTTTCCTCGAGCAGATTTTACAATCCTTCGGCCTGCGCGAACCTCGACCGTTTCCAAGAAACACTGTTCTGTACGTAAACACAGCTTTTTTAGTGTGTATATTTTTACCAGATTCCATGTAAATCATAACGTTTTTCCCCTGCGAACTGACGCATATATCCGCGGATGTATTCAACGTTTTGTAGCTCCGTAAAAGCTTAAAATTGTCTTTGTTTTGCGTGAAAATATCAAAACCAGTATTTAACGAGGAGATGCACACATTGTAAGCTCCGTGAGTGTCCTCAGGCACCGCACTTTTGAAGGTCATTTGAACCCCCCCGTACGGTTCCTCCCAAGTTAGCTGACCTCTTTCGCAAGCGTAGAAGTGGACGGGGGAGACGCTGGCTGGCATTGTCCTCTCGGCAGCCCTGTAGTAAATGAGTGATTACATTGTCATTGTGAACTGAGCTCAAGTAAGAACTGGACTCACATAAAGCAACCTGTGACTTCCTGCAAGTTTCGATCGCAACTGATTGATTGGTTTTTGCAGTAAAATAATGATAAGACTAACTATGATAAGATACTGGAAACAGCATGCATATAACTAGAAAGGAAATTAAACTGACTTAGATTATAGACAATTTAAAAACTAGCGAAGTTAGTTCAGAATTCGACACAAAAAATCTGACTTTAACAAAAATTTCCTGGTCTTAAAATCGGCGGGTCACTCAAATCGACTAGGCATCCTGTGGATTTATAAGAGACGTTATTTAGTATATTTTCCTGAAAATATTATTCTCGCCGAGTTACCCCGCAGTGATATAGAAAACATATTTGTTTTGGAGAGGAAAATTCCAAAAATATCGCGCTTTTAAAGCAATGCCGCTTGGCTTGTGTCCCGTTCGACGGGTTCCTTCATTCATTTTGAACTGCTACAAATCAGGTTCGGAGAGGAATTTAATATGATCGCATTCAGATGGCATTTGATGTGACATACGTCAGAAAAGTAAACAGAATTTCCCCAGTTATTCCAAAAATTCCACAGAACAAAAGCATTCCGAAGTATTAGCTCTTAAACAGGGCTTAGCCCGAGACTAATTGGAAAACAAACGAGAGTTTTATGCCAAGCCGGACAATGCGCGGACGGAAATGCTAGCGATCTTTGTTTGTTTTATAAAATCTTGTATTTCAATTGAAGGAAACAGTATATCTGATCTGTTAACAATATCAGCCGACGTAGTTCTGAAAGAGTTCCTTGAGGTATAATCGTATTTCGAATTTTGTAATCATTTTGCACACAATATTCAGAGTTTATTCAGAGTTTTTTCTGGATGTTTGGTTTTTATAGCAGAGCTATTGTTCAATCCGGTGTAATTTGGTGATAGGCAAATGCTCTAACGTGCATTTGGTGATAGGCAAATGCTTTCCTAAAGCTTAACAAAACCCAGCGCCTATGCTATGCGCAATGCTATGTTAAAAAATAGTTCCAATAGATACATGGTAAAGTATTTGACCTTTTTTGAGTGACTTGTCTGAAAAATCTGCAGGATAAAAATGCAAAGATAGAACTAAGTTTCTGCTTGCAAAAACCATAAGAAAAGGAAAATTGAACACGTTTCATGTAATTTGATACAGGTATAATTTGATGTAAGTATTCCATGCATGTTCATAACCAAAGAATTGTTAAAATATTATATGAAGAGGTCAAGGTCTGCATGCAATCACATGCTAATTTATAGATATATTATCAAAAACAATTAGCATTTGAAAACACAGACTAGCAGCTGCTTGCTAAAAATCAATCATTCATCAAATAAAATTTTTTGATGAGGAAATCAGACCGAATATATCAAAATAAATTAGTCATAGAAGACGTAAAACTACATGAAAATATTAAAGAAAAATATGTCATCAGCTTTAAAACATGACTATGTCAATTGTGCAATCGCATAAAGCCATAATATTTATCTTCATGTATATACTAATTTTATTATACAGACTATATGCGAAATTTGTACAAACACGTACAGATAAAATTGAAATGTTTTACGAACATATTTCACAATCTTATAAATCGGACGCCAATTCTATAATTTGTTGCAGTTTCGTGCACGGTAAATGTTGAATCATTCTGTGTCTGATTCAGCAAGATTGAGTATAAAACCGAGTTGTTTTTGCATGCACGGTTGTTTTTGCAAAAGTTTCCCACGAGCGTTGGCAAGCTAGGGTCTGCTGAGAGGTGAGAACTTTTCGACTTAGCTGGCGTCCTGCAGAATCTGCAGAGTATTCTCCGAAGGCGATGCAGTAAATTGCCAAAAACTATGACCAAGTTACGTTTTATCATTAACGCGACATCACGGCGACTGTTTCCTGTGTCCAAAACCGTAGCTCGGAAAGTAAATTTGTTATGCAGAAAGGAACCGCTTCTATTAAAAATTGTTAATGTTTAAAATCACGCAGTTTCATGCTGTTTGGTATTGTAATGGACGTTTTGTTACACTTTCAATACACGGTGGTACTTTCCACAGCGTTTTTTTTTTCAGAAAACTCGAGAAGCCAGCACAAATGAACAATTTCGAAATGATTGCGAGAATATACATTTCAAACGAAGCCATATAGACATATCTTATCGCAGTGAGTCTGATAAAAAATTAATTAAAAATGATCAATTTGTTTATGAAAATTTGAAAGCGATGCTTATGTAAACAGCAAATGTTTTGCATGCGTTTTTGCACGCAATTCTATTAGCGCTGACATATATATTGATAGAAATTTACGCGAAAATTCATGATCATAATTAAAGGTATAAATATTTCAAACGCCGTTTACTGTATTTTTGAAGCAATAAAGATTTTGCAACGAGTACTAGCCTTGATAAATCATATATAGATTGTTGCTATTAGTATTTGCAAGAAACTTGCGAATTATATTAATGTTATATGCATTGCACTTCTAAATATGGAATTCTTCCTGTATATACGAAGCCTTTAAACATTAGAGAAAATGGACTTTGAATGAATTTTGACTGCTAACAAATTTGATCAAATCTTGAGCTGTTCCGTGCTATTTGAATGATGAATACAGAAAGAAGCATTATAATTATTTTACTGAAACGAAAATCGCTTCAAAATGTTGTACTATTTTAAAGTTTAGGGTGCATGATATTGGAAGCCTTGTAAAGTCTATAGCTGAATATTCAGGTTTAAATGATATCTTTATATAGACGTTTTGTGGGAAGAAACAGTGTTATTGTAGGGCCTTGTCAGTTGTTGATGATGTCGAAAAAACTGCACGGGATCTTTCGATGTTGCAAGGATCAATCCTCTTAGACAGGAATTGCTAATCATTAAGTATACATGCACTCATTGATATTTGGAAACCATTTCCAAAACCAAATCTTTCGTTTCATGAAAGAATTAAGACTAGCAACTTGCAGCCGGTGTTGGTTCAAAATCAACTTTGAAAACTCATAGCGTGTTGGTACATATGCAAGATTATAGTTTTATACATGTATATATACATTTCATATAATATAGCTATATATATATATATACAATGGTCTTCCCTAACACGGCAGCAACGTTAAAATGTATACAGAACCTTTCTCCACAAAGTACTTCATTTCCGCTGAGATTGAACGAATTTTCACGGTCTACAAATAAACAATCTTTAAAACCCGACAAGATCGAAAGATCTCTTCGAAGAAGAACTGTATTATTTTGCCTGCCTGAATGCACAGAGATCATAAGTTCAATGATATTTCAATCCGATGGACTTTGGTTTGAGATTTAATTATTTTTATCCCACGCAGACATGAATAGCCCTCGCTAGCGCTTGTACGAAACCAACCCCACAGGGAAACATAAACCTCGTTCTCCACGCTATTTAAATTGAATATTCCAGGCAAACGACGAATTAAGGATCGGTTTCATTGGAAGGGAATTTCGAGAATTCGCCACAAACTGCAAATGCATGCCTTGTTTTCTAACAAACGTGGCTAGTATAACGGGAATCGATACTTTGAAACAGTTTAAAATATACCAGCAACACACGCAGCGATTAAACCCGGCACGAACTCTCCAGATTCCCGAGCCTATATCTCGGGAGATTGAGTTCTCACAACAAAACATACTTCATTCACGGAATTGCAATCGATCCGAATACAAGGAACCTTCGCTCGAATCTCAGAAGAGATGGCACAATTATATACATGGCATTGTTTAAATTAACAAACGTTATTTAAGAATGCAATAACGCCACGCAAATAACCAATGCATGAACGGATCAGTTCGAGTCGATGTTTCCTGGCATACATAAATTGTAGCAAGTGGTTGTAATATACCTTAAAGAACGTCTTTGTCGAATAGGGTTCGGCGTACCCAAGCTAAACTCGAGATGGGCGGTTGAGCAGGCATTGTTTATACGTACAAAGTCTATACTAAGAACGTATTTAAATCAAGACTAACCTTACTGTCCAGTTGCACAGTCCTTCGATGATATCAGATTCTTCCGAGGAGACTAGAACCAATATAAATAACAGCAGATGCCAAGTCGCTCCGAACGAAATCATTTTGTTGGCAAAGCGAGGCGAAGCTGGCGGTGATATCCTCGCGGTTTGTATTCAAAGGAGACTGCTACGGTGCACGGTGCTGGGACCAAAACAGGCTCTTTTGTGTTGGCTGCCGAGAACTCAGGAAGGCGGGAGAAACGTTTTTTGATCTGCAGCAGGAAACAAACAATAAAGACTTAAGCATACATCAATTATATTGTGCGTCGCAATACGTCGTCGAGCGTAGCAAATTGTCCACTTGTCAAGTCGCTAATGGCTTTGCTTTCGTCTTCCTGGTCAACAGAATGTTTGATCAACGTCAAAGTGATTTGCGGTGCTCGATAACGATCGGCCAATATGGATCGGCCTCGGCCTGGGACGCGGGCAGCCGTTAGACTAGACGAAAGCGATTGCATCTAAGAGGACACCGTGTCTATTTGTGTGGGAGGAATTTCAAGAGCCATTATTAAGTGTTGAGGTCAGGGAGCAGGGGCCATGCAAGCGAAGACAGGGGAGGTTGGACCTGGGGAGGGGAGGGGTAGTAGCATATTAAAACGCATGCTTGATGATATTCTTGTAAGTTTACATCGGTGATATCAATAAGTAAATTATTATTACCTGGGGAGGGGAGGGAAAGTAGCATATTAAAATGCATGCTTAATCAGTTCTGTATCTTCTATAGAAGCCATTTAGTAAGTGATTACTTGAAGTATCCAGCTCAAAACTAAGTGATTTTCCTAACGATTTTTGCAAATAAATATACGCAATGTGCTTCGATATAACGAGTATAAAATAATGAACTGTATTTTTGCATAGAATTTGCATGAAAATGATTTCCCTTATAAGCTATTCTAACACCAAGTACAAGGTTAAATCGACTGCCTACGTTGACGTTGTAGATTAGTTTAATGCCATAAAATCATAGGAAGCCCAGACAAATGAGTTGAAGTTAATAAAAATCCGTAAAACACTTGAGATATGTGTTAAAATGAATTAAAGTATGTAATATGCTACAAAACTACTGTTAGAACCATGTATGTAACGTGCTCCAGAGGTGCTGCCATTTGACTATGCAACTAGTGACGTAACTTACTATATTATTAGGAAGGATGGAAACTCTCACCTCAATTTTCAACATGTTCACAAATTAAAACACAAATTACTATAGTAAAACGGCACGCCGACTGCTAAATGCCTACCCTAGGTTTAAGTTGAATAATCAAACTATACTTTCATCACAAAAATAATGCTGAATTCAAAAGAAAGCGCTGGAAAAACGTACACAAACTTTGTAAATTTGCCGAAATTTTCGTAAATTCATGCGGGATGTAAGTACCTACCCAAAATGGCGGCGGCAGAAGAATCTGATTGGTCGAGAAAGGTAAACAAAGTATGATAAACCAATTTGATTGGTCGAGAAAGGTAAACAAAGAATGATCGACCAATCAGATTCTTCTGCCGCCGCCATTTTGGGTAGGTACTTACATCCCGCATGAATTCACGAAAATTTCGGCAAATTTACAAAGTTTGTGTACGTTTTTCCAGCGCTTTCTTTTGAATTCAGCATTATTTTTGTGATGAAAGTATAGTTTGATTATTCAACTTAAACCTAGGGTAGGCATTTAGCAGTCGGCGTGCCGTTTTACTATAGTAATTTGTGTTTTAATTTGTGAACATGTTGAAAATTGAGGTGAGAGTTTCCATCCTTCCTAATAATATAGTAAGTTACGTCACTAGTTGCATAGTCAAATGGCAGCACCTCTGGAGCACGTTACATACATGGTTCTAACAGTAGTTTTGTAGCATATTACATACTTTAATTCATTTTAACACATATCTCAAGTGTTTTACGGATTTTTATTAACTTCAACTCATTTGTCTGGGCTTCCTATGATAAAATATGAGAAAAATTCCCCTCGAGCAAAAAATTTAAAAGCCGAATTCAAAAGAAACGCCTTTCACCATAACCAAACATCGTCAAAGACAATCACTTATGTAACTAAATAATAAAACACGTCTGCATTTTGTTATAATATTATAAGTAATCGAAGCCAATGGCGGCCATGTTGAATGGCCTAACTAAAATCTAATTTGCTGTTGCTGTAATGTCTAAAGTTGTTTTACACGATTTTAGTTGTTGGTAGGAGTGGTTGGGTAAAATATTTCGAAGATATTCATCATAATATTCATCATTTCTAAAATAACAACTAATTAGGGCAATTAAACATGGCCGCCATAAACTTCATTATATTATTAATATAAATGCACTGTTTATAACGAATATCTCGAACTTTTGGAAACTGTATTTCGCAAGGCAGAAGGGAAAAAAATATTTGCTTTATTGCATAGCTATAAGAATCGTAATATTTAGCTTAGTATAGAATTTAACTTATTTATATAGATATTCCATCTTTGAATTTAATTTGCACGATGGCCGTTAAATTCACTAAAGAAAACGTTATTCAAGTCTAGTCTTAAAACATGATTGTATCGATGTTGAGTACAAGACTAAAGTTGACTAATTGTTGGATGATGGTAAATGTAAACTAGTCCAATGGCAAGAAGTATAATTAATATATATTAGCGAATGAGAAATATAGTAAAGAATATAATTTTTAAAAAAAAACTTCTAGAATTTTGAGACCGTAAATTGATGCAGAACTGCTGATCAAAATACATCTATACCCAGCTAATTCAATTAAATTTTACAGCTGCAGGAGTCACGGAATACAATTGTTTATTGTGATTTAATCAAAATAAACACGATTATGATTTGATTAAAATAAACAATTGTATTCCAAACATATTTTTGCGCTCATATTGAACATTTGACAATTGTGGAAGTCAAACTTAAAATATTGAACAAGCTGTATTTGTAGTCTGAAGAACCTACGTATCTCGACTTTGTGTCGCGTTGCTGAAATAATTTGCTAATTCCGAAAAGCATTATCACGTACGATAAAGATGGCTTCTGCGCCAACATAACTCTATAAGTTTTAGTCGACTGGCTCCATACCTGAGTTTGCCTACCCTACAGTACACGTACTATGAAAAGCTAAGATCTGCTTGAATACTCTACAATGATTGAATAGATTTTAGCTTTTGAATATTTTGTTTCACTTGATGTGTTTCTGTTCAACAATATCAAGCTCTTGTAGAAAGACACAATATTTTCGTTTGTTATATGCGTAGATTGTGGTGAAAGCGAGGAGGAAGCAAGCTTTATGATGTAAATGCAAAACCACAATGAATTGTACAATACAATTATTACAGAATGTCGCAATACGTAAACCCAAAACAACACAACTCGCAAGGAGACTTCAAGAAACATAAGAGCAGTTAAGTGCTGCTATAATTACAGCCTACAGGCATTTTTTAGACAATTTCCGGAGAACAGTTTACAGCACTTGAAGCATTTAGTCACGTTCTAATACACATCGCTTTACCGTCTTCAAGATCCTTCCACATGATCACATCGACTTATTTAGCTAACAGATTTCAGGTGCAATGGATCGGAAGAAATAAGTGGATATTCCTCGAAGATTCCGATTAGGGAAGCCCTCAAAATCAGGGCAAGTCTCGCTGCTCCACTCAAAAGAAATTATAGCACCAAAAATGGCAGTAAAATTACATGTCAATCGATCAGGCCTTTAGAATTCTCCATATATAGAGTGTTAATAAATTGATTAGGTAACTGGTGCCTTTTAAAAACTGCTCTACACGAAGTTTGTGTGGAAAGAGAAGTGCGGAGTAGCCAAGCAGATATTGAGAAAGTTAAAGCCTATTAGCTACATACAAAAGGCATGCACAATTTTAGCTCATTTTTAGTTTGATAAAAGAGTACGAATGAAATTTCGACCATCTATTTAGGTAGTCCGAATTTTATCTGTATACGAAACCTAAAATTGAACATGGTGTAAACTGATAAAATCGGTAAAGTACGGATAATAAAATTTGATCAGCTTTTGGCCAGTTGAAATTTCATGCGAATTTTTTTGGGACATGGAAATCAATTTGTTGAAAACGCCATACTGCTCGAAGTTTAGCCAACCACTATCATTTTTTTCTGAGAGCTTGTTACAGCCTCGTGTGTTAATGTAAATAAAGTTTTGCATGAGAATTTACATGATATGTTATATATATAGGGTCCACTGTAATTGGTGTATATATATGTATACGTTGTTGTGGTGACCCTGTCGCTAGGTTTGTGGCAGAGTTAAATTAACTTTTTCGTGTGTACAGGCATGACCTATATAAAACCTATATCATGAATTTGATTTTGACCATATCGATGACTCCTTTAAGCAATCGGCATGCGATTGTTGAAGTTATCACAATGATAGCAAATCTTAAGCCCGGTACAGACGGGCAAGTTTTCCTTGACAAGTTTTCTTGACCAGTTCACTTGCTTGTATGTATGGCGAACAAGTCTTCCTTGACAAGTTTTACGATAATATATATCTCGAGTATATTTACGACAATATGATAAAATGAGTATACAATCGAATCTCAAAACAAACAGAATGATAAAACTTTCGAAAACCGCTCAATTGGCTCGAAGATTTGTTGCGCAGTTTCCTGCTTGAAAAGCTGGCATGACTAGCTTTTGAACAAGGATCCTTGTCAAGGAAAACCTGTCAATTTTTTCACTACACACGAGCAAATAAAACTTGGTAAGGAAAACTTGCCCGCCTGTACGGGGCTTTACAGTGTGTTTATTCCACCGTAACTTTTATGCAAAACATGCCTTCATATAGATTTTAGTTTAGACAGCTTGATTCAAACGAGCGAAGTACTGTCTTCCGTACGAGCGGCGTTGACTAATTCAATCACTATAGGCACGCAAAATAGCAAAGATAGTGCTCCTTTTAAGGATAAAGTCATGCAGATATAGTTCATCTTAATTGTTATTCCGTTTGTTTGTCCGATAATATAAAGGCTGATGGATTATCAAATGAACTATATATAATTTCTTTGCTAAAGTTCCTCTAGATCGAAGCAGATGTATGACCCATATCACTAGCATAAATCTGGCAAACGTTGTCGAAGAGAGCCATTATAAAGCTAAGATTATTAAGTCAAGTTTACACCCATATTTCGTTGCCTTTGTAATAAGCCTATCTACAATACAACAGGGAATGCAAATCGTACCTGTGTTAAGTCGAACAGAACTTCGAATATATCTAACCACACTCCAATCACACTTCCTGTGCAGATCAAATGCTTCGTAGGACAGCTAAAGGAAGGTAGCTTTGGCGTAGATAATTCGCAACAAGCCTTAACTGTAGTGCTGAAAACGTGAAATATACGAGCTTGTTAGAGACAGAGTGTCTGTGCGTGCTATTCACAAAGTACAACGAATGCAGACGCATGTCAAATTAGGCGAGCACACTACAGCATTCCCTAACACAATAGAGGCAAACAAACATTAACGTCCGAATCATTG